CCAACCTGAGAGCGATGGCCTCCAACCTAAGAGCGATGGCCTCCAACGCAAGAGCGAGGGCCTCCACCTAAGAGTCATGGCCTCCACCTAAGAGTCATGGCCTCTATCGTGAACATTTTCTCTGTGGTTTGCGACCTGATTGATTTTGGCCAGTGTGGTTTGCGCCAGGAGTTCGACATCAATGGCACTCCACAGAAGGTTTCACAGGGTGATGGCGTGGTGATCCAAACCACTTCCTGGGATGATGAAGAGGAGTGTTCAGCAGGTTTGTTCCCAATGTCACGTCTCCAAGAAACATGTGCAAGAAAGGGAGCAAGCAGATGGCAAGGATATACCGTGTGACACCGTATGACACATTCCGGTTGACATTCGTAACACATCTGACAAGGGCCAGGAGCCCCTAGTAGCGTCCTTGCTCCTAGTAGTAAGGCCAGGAGCCCCTAGTAGCTTCTTGTTCCTAGTAGTAAGATCTTTGGATTTGCCCTTCCGGTTGACATTCGTAACTCCGCCTTGAATGTTTGCTCGGAGAAGGTCGTCCCATGAGCAAAGAGGTCGCAAAGAGGCGTGGACCCTAAGCCACTTCTCCCACATTGCATCGTAGGAGGGCGTGCTCCTCTTTGAAACGAAGGACTTGTTAGGTGCCTTGGCTTTGAGTGGCGAGGCATAGGCATAGATGGATGAGGACACGTTGACCGACCTCGGTTTGAGTTGAAGGTAGTGCAAGTGGTTCAGAACTAAATCTCTAACATGCTTGCTCCAATGTTGAATAGATGCAACTGCAAATTGGGAGCAAGGACGCTACTAGGGGCTTCCAAGCCAGTTCCACCCGTTGATTCAGCTTCTTCGCACTTGTGAACTCTGTGGAGCAAGCACAAGTGGAGATTGCCCACTCAAACACGCCGGAAGTCCGCATGGAGCGCTACCCAGGTTGCGATCCCAATTCATGGACCCATTGCCGTCAATATCTTCAAGGAGAGGGAGTTCTCAAGCTTCTGGAGCGAAGAGCAATCGGGTGCAGATCTTCTCGAGCCTGGTGCTTTTTCCAAGAGTATATATATATATACTAGGAACAAGTGCCACGCTACTAGGAACAAGTGCATCGCTAGTAGGAACAAGTGCCTTACTAATAGTAACAAGAACGCTATGTTCGGAACACAGGGCATCGCTACGTTCGGAGCGATCGGACACGACGAACGGGGCGCTCCTTGGCCCTACGTAACGTTCGGAACCAGGTTCGCTACGTTCGGAGCGGCATCGCGATCGGAACGGAACAAGGCACTTGTTTCTAATAGCTTCTTGTTACTACTAGTAAGGCACTTGTTACTAGTAGCGATGCACTTGTTCCTAGTAGCTTCTTGCCCCTAGTAGCTTCTTGTTCCTAGTAGCGTCCTTGTTACTACTAGTAAGGCACCTGTTACTACTAGCGTGGCACTTGTTCCTAGTAGCGATGCCCTTTGTACCTGATGTTTCGAGGTGAAAGGAAACGGTCTGCCTTTGACCGAAGGGAAGAATTCCCATCGGCCCGGCCTTCAATCAAGTAGACGCCTACTTCAAGTAAGGCTAGTAGCTTAAGTCAGCTTGCACTATTCATTTGGTTCCGAGCTTCTTCTTCCATAACAATAAGCTACTAGTAACAAGTGCATCGCTTCTAGTAACAAGTGCCTTACTAGTAGTAACAATGCTTGCTATTAGAAACAATTTAATTCCGAGATTCTTCTTCCCTAAGCGATTCCCAAAGAAGCTTCCCCCACGCAGGAGAGGAACTGGTCATCGAGGTTCGTGGAGCCCGTGGACATCGTGCGGTTTGGACCTATCACCGCGCCCTCTCGTGAGGGCGTGCTCCTCTTGTTGTTGTGATGTTCGTTGCTGAACAAAGGTCCACTTCAGGATTGAAAACAACATTGGAGGCCAAGTTGTTGGGACCAGGTGTTTTCAGCTGTTGATTTGCACTGAAGTGCCTGCCGCGCCTGCGCAGAAAGATGCATCTCCAGGGCTATCCAGGGCTGTGACAGGAAGACTCCAGGATTCGTCTCTAGAGATGGAGCCCTGCAAGGTAAAAGCACCATGCAAAGCATGTCAAAGAGTCTAAAACCTGCAGTAGCTTCTTCTTACTAGTAGCGTCCTCTTGCTCCTAGTAAGGCCAGGAGCGCCCCTAGTAGCGTCCGATCGCTCCGAACGTAGCGATGCCCTTTGTTACTAGGAGCTGCAAGAAGCTAGTAGTAAACCTGCAGGATGTTTGGGGCCGATTTCTTGGGTCGCCAGTTGCCTGTGCGCCTTTAGATTTCAAGAGGAAACGTGAAGTGAAACAGAGGGGATGAGAAAAGATGGTGTGATCCTTCAACCGCTGACACCGGGTCCGACTAAAATCTGAGCTTCAAGAAAGGAATAACTGAATAACAAGCAAGGGAGTGATATTCTTAGCTTGGTTGCTCTTGCACCTTCTTTTAGCTGAAAAGAACCCTGTCCTGGTGTTCCAATCACGGCTTTTCTACCCCTATTCAACTCAAAACACCTTCTCGTCGTGACGAGTTCTTCTTCCATAACAATAAGCTACTAGTAACAAGTGCATCGCTTCTAGTAACAAGGGCGCTAGTAAGAACAAGAAGCTATTAGAAACAAGTGCCACGCTACTAGTAACAAGTGCCTTATTAGTAGTAACAAGAAGCTATTAGAAACAAGTGCCACGCTAGTAGTAA